TATGTCTGAATACATAGGGAGTAGGGATGTAAAAAAGTATCGATGCACTTCAGTATTGCAATATTTTGTTTTGCGATATTGTATGGATTGTCAGAAACACTACACAGTGTTTACACAGATTTTATGCATATAGATGAGAGCAGCCATACGTCACTTTCTTGTCTTTTTGATTTTGGCTCCTAATAGCTGAAAATCAGTACAATATTCTTATTTTATGCTATTAAATTGGCAGGGACCTCAGAATTTACATTTATAGCCATTCAAATTATAGGGACTGTTTTCACTGAAAAGGGGGCGGGGACTAGACACAACGCCCCCAGATGGTGTGGCTCTCATCTATGGTGGTGTGTTCTTTATACTATGGAAGTGTTCCTAAAAATATCAATATATTGCCTTGCTTACAGAAATCATAATATATAGAATCGTAACCCCTGTACTGGGATACGTATCGTACAGTCCGATTCTTACACAGCCCTGTCTGGAGTCTGGTCTTATTTTGTATGCTAGTAATGCATACATGCATGATACTGAAAGGCATTTTTTGGGTAGAGGCATCATCTTTCCTCCAAACTGAATACAGAGGAAGCACAGGAAGTTGTTGACTTTTGACTTTCCGCCTTTGCACTGCTGTGTGCATGTACGCTTATCAGATTTCCTGTGTTTTTTATCATTTCTCCTTGTTTTTAACATACATTTCCTCTATTGTTTCCTGTGTGTGTTTCAGGCAGGTGACATCCATTCAGCTTTTAAGGCGCTTTGAGAGGGAGACAGGGAGACTAATAACATGCAGTATACCGGGTTTTGATTTAGCACGGCTGCAGAAGTGTGCCGTGGATCCTGAGGGGAAGAGAGGCAGATGAGGCAGTTGGAGGCCTGTCACCTCAGCCATCAGAGGAAATGAAGACATGGCTGTGGAGCACAGGCTTTCTTTTATGGAGGGAGACACAAAACAGGACGTGCTGTATGTGTGTGCGCTTGGGACGGGGACATTTATGTATTGCCGGTTGGCCTGTGTGTGTTTGGAATGAAAACAGAGGTAATCTGATGGAGGAAGTTAGTGTAGGATAAGAATGAGGGAAAGATGGAAGGGGGACTCTGTATGTTCTTCCAGTTGTGTCAACACAGAGTTAAGAACATTTTCTTGTTGCTAATATAGTTTGTGTGACATCGGTTCGGCCTACTGTGCGGAAATACGAGTGTGAGAGAGTGTGGTGCAACAGTGATGTTATGATCTTATGTTTGAGATACTGTTATAGATATCCTGCAGCGGTGTTGCTAGAGCCTGACTGATGTATCAGCAAGGCCACAATAGAGAGCTGAAGTCCTGCATCGCGACCGGGCTAGCTTTCTGTGCAATGTGTCAGTCATCAGACTTTCTGGTTTCACTTTGGCTCTACATTGTTGGTCGATAATTAACTGTTGCAAGTCCTGTATGAGAGAGGTTTTGCAGGTACTGTTTGTTAAGCTACTTCCTCTTAGTTACTGTTGCTACGTCTGTCAAGCTTTCTCTTCTCACATAGCACAAAACTCGCATAGATGCACTGAACTCCTGGTTCGATACAATTCACGATACTGGGTTCACCGTAGGATTTTCTCACAGTTTGTATCAGCAAAATGAGATTAAAGACAAATTATGAGTGAAAAACAATGGGAGGTTTTAACAAGGACACTATTAGCGCTGTTTTCTCAGCTATGTGTTAGCCGTTAGCCGACTCCTTTACTACCCGTATTCCTCCCCATCTCAGTACCTGTGAGTGCTGACCCTTCTGAAAGTTTATTGTAGGTTATACATCAAAAAACTTTCATTAAGCTTTCATATGTGCTGTTTGGCCACTTTAAAAACCTTATTTGATGGATCGTTGCCAAACGTTAACGCCAAAACAAATACTGGCTGATATTTTGGTATTAGATTTTTATTTTTCTAAAATATTTATCTGGGTCAAATATCCAGTATTGGTCGGTGTGTAGGCGCTGGTATGTGTTCGAGGGAATGTTCTCATTCAAGCTCACACTTCATAAATCTCCTTGCCTTTGGTGTGCCAGCACCCCAAGTCCCCATGGCGATCTCAGACACAGCACTGTGACAAGAAGGGACTGTTGCCAGAGTTTTTGTGCCTGTAGACTTGCAAGAATGTGTGTGAGCGCATGTGGAGCACTCAGAAAGAAAGGCGTAGCTAAAGAGGCCATATGCTGCCAAGTGTTGGCTGCTTCTTTAAAGGCACAGCCCCCCTTTCTCTTTCCAGCTGGGAACTTGTTCACTACTCCCTCCCCTAAATGTGTCCTTCCTACCTCCATCTCTTATCACTGTGCTCAAGTAAACATTGATTAAACCTGAACTACTTAATAGCTTTGAACTTGAATAAAATAGTTCTGGCACCAGAAGGTGAGGAACAATCGCTTCCTCGGCCAATAGCAGCACCCTCTCCGCCCCTTCATTTTCTGTCACCCATGTAATTTGTAATTCCTCTTCTTGCTTGCTGCGATAAAAGGTGGAAGTTTCACAGGAGAAAAAGTGACAGATGTTTCTGAACTACCCGCCCTGCTCCCTCCTGTTCAACCAGTTGAGTCAGACCTCCAAGGGCCACATTCTTGGTTGTAGTTTAGTAGTTTATTTTTTCTTAAGTCCAGGTGTTGAACTGAAGTACTTTTTGGGTAGCAAATGGATATGTAAAACTGAGACCCTGTCAGAAACCTGATGCTAGCTTCCAATGTCTGGTGACATTCAGAGGTTGTTTACTTATTCTGTGGTAGGATGGTTCCTGCTAAGTCATTTGTTTCACTAATTTGGACTGACTGACTTTTATTTAAAGTCCAAACTTATGGGCAATTATGCTTATTTTCTTTCTTTCAGAGGGTTGAAAAGATTGATAGCACTCTCACGTCTGTGTGCTAAAGGTCCAGTGTGTAACATTTAGGAGGATCTATTGTCAGAAAGGGAATATAATATTAATAGCTATGTTTTCATTAGTGTAAATAAGAATCATTGTGTTTTTGTTACTTTAGAATGAGTCGTTTTTATCTACAGAGGGATAGGGTTAGCCTAGCTTAGCATAAATACTGTAACCTTAGCTTATTTTTTCATTACTGTTTGTGAATCAATTAAACAATCAAAATACAAGACAGACATGTTGGTAAGCATATATTTGAAGACTAAAGCTAGCCATTTACCCCTGCTTCCTGTCTTAATGCTAAGCTAACCTAATCACCTACTGGCTCTTGGCCATGGTCAGCAAGCAGGCATGAGTGTGGTATCAATCTTCTCGTCTAACTCTCAGAAAAATCACCAGAAATAATGTGTGTTTTCCAAAAACTATTAAATTAAAAAAGGTTCTTGTAGAGAGATTTTGTATTGAAAGGATGGTTTGACATTTTTGACTGGAAACAAGGAAACAGAAAGCCTCTTTCTAAAGGTAATAAAATCTACATAGACATCTAAAGCTCACTAATTAATATGCTATATCATGTTTAATTTGTCCAAAAAATGTTTACATACACAAAGTTGTACATGGTGGTTATACTATTTCTTGTCCTGAAGCAATAACTTTGTAGAGTCAGTGGTGACAAAAAATCATCATACCTTTTTACTTTTTTACTTTTTATTTTAAATTTTTTTTTACAGTATATGGGCAAAGTTCTTTAACATTAAACAACAATTCATCATTCTAATTTTGGTATCGCTAGTGAAACACAGGTACCAGTATCTAACACCTGCCCACCTCAAATGGTTATTAAGAGTCAGATGATGTGGCGTTTAAAGTTAAATTCAAGAGAAGCAAAAAGCCAGATGAGGATGTGTGCTCTGCTGTTAATGCAGAAGTGAAACGCTCCTCTGTGGTTCCTCTCTCTTGTTTCTGAGAAGGAGAGACTGTGCAACAGGAAGTGAGGCAGGAGGTGGCAGAAGCACACAGGAAGTGAAGTGAGGCCTGCCTCTGTTCAATCTGATTCATCAGTAAGGCATCTAACCTGTAGTCTACATTCCTGCCTCTGCACAGGCTTCGACATTGACTTTAATAATCAAGGACTGTACCAGTGATTTTTACATCTTGTCTCCCATTTATAACCACCTATGGGTGTACTTATTCACTTCACTTTTTCATTTTTCTTTGCAATAATTTAACCTTATATTATCTTACTATCAGAATCATATTGTGATGATGTAAATGTATTATACCAACTTGAACAGAGACATCTGAAGTTGTAATAAGGCTAGTTTTTGGTTGCCTTGATAGTTTCACTGCTGGTAGTGTAGAGGAACAGCCCACTCCACTATTGGGCAATATATCCACCATACAGCGGCATTACTAAAATCAAAGAGAAACAGGTGCAAATAAGCGGCAGGCATGTACCGATCACTAGAAATAAAGCATTTGACATAACAAGTGATCCTTCCCATCCATTGTACACACAATTGAAATTGCTTCACTTAGGATGGCACTTTAGACTGTAGGCGAGTTACCAAAAATGACTCCAAGAAATACTTTCAAATGCATGGTCACTTAAAGTCACCTACCTCACCCCCTCGCTGAATTTATTTGTCTCGTGTTTAAGGAATTCAGCACTTTGTACTTTTCTAATAGGCTGTTCTATGATTGAACACCTACTCTCCCAAATTCTGTTTTTTTTTTAATTGTTATTTGTAATTTTGTATTGTGTATTTATGGGTCAGATTAGAAAAATGTTTCTACATTGTGGACAATTTCGTGAACAATAAAGTTTCTAACCTTACCTTAGTGGGGTAATCAGTCCCTCTAGGAAGTTTGCGATTGCAATGATGAACACAAATTTAACCAATCCCTGTGAACTCTGCAAGACCTTGCAATTATATTCATTCAATCACCACAACTTTTGCACAAAATGTTGACTTGTACGTCACCAAACTCACTTCCTTGTTTCTAGTTGTGACCATGCAGGCATGTGCGATGCAAAGGTTTCACATTTACCCTCCAAACAGTGCGATTTAGTTGTCACTGGAACAAGTTGCCTTTTTTTAATGAATGTTACAAAAAACAAATAATAAGCAATTTTTGTTTTCTCCTGCAAATCCATGACAAAACACTGACTAAAAACATACATCGCAAATTTTGAGAAAAGCTGACGTGAAATGAGGCATGACTGGATAATGTCGCTGTTAAGTGTAAATTGATAAAAAATCTTAACTGCATTATCTTGTAACAACAGTGCAACTTTTTCAAAGATGAATGCAGAATTGATATTCACTGTGACGCACTATGCGACTCAAGCTAATTTCAACAGTCTAGGAATTGCTTTTCATGCAATATAGAAATGAATGGCTGCAGCAGAGCAGTGCTGGTTGAAACAATATGGCAAATGTATGCAAAGTCACATAAAAAAGCAATGTTAAAAACGATTGAGGATTGATCCAGTGTTATCCATAACATAAGACTAAACTTTTCATATGTGCGAAATTTGACTAATTTTTTTGCTGAATCACTTGATTTGGATAACTAAATCTGTATGTGTAGTAATGTAAGAGCTGCAGATTTGGCTGATAATTCTCTGTAGGTTCATAACTACGAGCGAATCGTTTTCACATTGTTATCGACTGTAGCTGCTCCAAAGATTGTCAGCTGTAATATATAGCGTCCGTGTGTAGTTAAGGACTTACAACTTGTATGAACACTTGTGTGGTCCTTTAAGTCACTGGCATGTTGTTGGCCTCAATTTGACTGCACACATTTTTCTCTTTACCAAGGCCATCTTCTGTTCCTCTAAAAGCTATACTGCTGGAGTGCTGATAGACGCTGATAGCTGCTCTGTGTGTGTATGTGTGTCTAGGGCCTTTATTTACCTCCTATCTGTGATCTGGGACAGAAAATAAGGGTTTCAGAGACATGACCTCCACACAGTGCCCTTCATTAAGGTTTTTTCTCTGCACACATTTTATTTTATGATCTCAATCTCCAAAGAATTCTCTACAACAAGAGAATTCTCTGTATGGAGGTAAATATTTCGGTCCCGTCTGCATATAAGAAGTGAGTTTTAGGAAGTAAGTGCTGCTGGTAATAGCGACCATTTTTGTATATGTTGTATAGTAGCTACAGCCTCGTAGTAGCCCTCTCTGCTCCAGCTTTTGTAAACACAGCAGCTTAAAGTCAAGCAGCTGCCCCTCCATATACACACACACACACACACACACACGTACCGTGGGAAGGATCATGCTCGGCCTCCCTGTGTGTAACGGCCAGGAAATATTCTCCCCAGCATGTGGCTTCGTCACGTCGCCTCACTTTGATAAATCCACTGACTGTTTCGATGGATCACGTGCGCTTGCATGTCTTACATGTTGCCTCTGGTCATGTGTCGAATGTCTTTCCACTCTGACTGTGCTTCTGTCCTCTTTCTTCTCCTCCTCCTCCCCAGCCTCCTCTCATCCAGGCGATCTTCAGCGGAGACCCTGAGGAGATCCGTATGCTCATATACAAGTCTGAAGACATCAATGCTCTGGTGAGGATGCACACATTTTCTACATCAAGACAGGTGTCAGATTTGTCTTTAGTTCTGGGATCACGCCCATGATAAGAGGTGTCTTAGGGTGGCCCACAGTCCCTACAAGGAGCTTTCATTTTGTATTGATTCTTTTCATTAATTTTAATGGGAATCTGACTGAATCTGCCCTGGTGGCAGGCATTAAGAATAACTATATAAAAACAGCCAATCAAGGTCATATAGAGGAACCAGCATTAAATTGAGACTGTTTCATAACCAGTTAAAAACTCTTTGTAGTACGTTTAAAGCTGCAGTAGATAACTTTTATAAAAATAACTTTTTATCATATTTGGTGAAACTTTCCCTATATCCTGACAGTAGTACATGAGACAGAAAAAATCAGCTTCCTCTGACTCCTCCTAGTGCTCCTAATGGTATTTGCAAGAATCCACCGGGCCTGCAGGAAAACAACCAATCAGAGCCAAGAAAGATGTAAAGACACATAAGAAAGATAATTTATTGTTGAGTCTCATTCCCAGGGTCAGTATTTGACGCCCTGGGCATGAGACTTGTTTCTCACTGCATCTCTACTTAGACTCAGCTTTTAGGAAAATAAAAACCCTGCTCTTTCTTCAGCCCCCACTTCCTGTAGTAGCCAGCACCCAAGGGTGAGGGGAGCAGGGCTGCAGGTCAAGAGTCAATAAAACCAAAGTTCAGAGTGTGTTTATTCCCATCAGGTCATATACATAACACATGTCTGTAGCAGGGCAGCACAGGATGTGGGCCTGCCTGCTCTACCATTCTCCTCTCTGCTGTATTTAGTCTCCTGTGTCTGCTGCTGGCGGTCTGTTACAGGACTCCCACGTCACTGTCATTGTCCACTTTAGATGTGTTTCTGTTGGAGAGGCTGAGTCCAGTCACGTGGTCATCGGGATGCTGTGTGTGTGTCTGTGTGTGTCTGTGTGTGTCTGTGTGTGTCTGTGTGTGTCTGTGTGTGTGTGTGTGTGTGTGTGTGTGTGTGGTGTGTGTTGTGTGTGGTGTGTGAGAGCTGGACTGAGGAGGAACAATGGGATGTGTTGACACTGATGCCCTTGTCACTGATGCTCGAGCTCATCTGTGAACTGATATCACAGCCTCCTCTGTTCGGCCTCAGCATGTACTCATGGATTACTAATATGTGATCTTTCTTTTGTTGGCAAAAATCCGGCTCTAATTTGGGGAAGAATTAGGTAAAAATGTGTTTGTATCATTTTGTCATACCTTGCCAAAGTTATAAGCAAGTACCAACTGACTGACTTCCTCCCTCAGGATGCAGAGAAACGCACCCCGCTGCATGCAGCGGCATTCCTGGGTGATGCCGAGATCACCGAGCTACTCATCCTCTCTGGTAAAATATATTCCTTTGTTCCTCTTGGTTTTCAGCTTTTTTTCAGCTGTTCTTGGTTCTAAAGACCTTCTTGTGAGAATGCTTGCAATATGCTACTTTGTCATGATATACGCAACCTTGGTAAACCAATCATCGGGACCACACTCTGGTCGGCTAAAGCTTCCTGGCAGAGGTCACGAGGCCTTCTTGATTCTAAGGGAGCCTTTAAAAAGATACGCAGTAGGCGTATATCTTAGCATCATGTTTAGATTAGAATAATAGATTATTATTTAAGATTTAAACTTTGAAGACCTGAACACGAGCTACGTTCACAGAGCCTTGTAATGCATTAGATACATACGCAGTAAAGACAACCAAGGAGCTAATAGAACAATGGCCAAACGTCAGGCCAAAAACAAAAAGTAATCAACTGGGGATGTTTCATGGTGATATCTTTTAGGTGAAATTACTCTACTCACGTAGTGTCTGCCCTTAAGATTTTTTTAATTGTCTGAAATTTCATTTTATTAAACTTGTACTGCAGATGGAAATTGGATTGTATGGCTAAATCTGGTATGTCTACATAGCGGATTTAAGTCCTTATCTTAATTAATGTGCATTTTCCTTTTTTTAAATAAACTTCAGACTTGCAGGCCTGTGTATTCTACCCACTGTTACTGTGATGCATGTTAGCTATGAGTGACATTCCAGTTTGGTCTGTAAACCTCATGCCCATCCCTCCTCGTTCTACCCTGTGCTACTTCTTCTCTGCAGGGGCCCGGGTCAACGCCAAAGATAATATGTGGCTCACCCCTCTCCATCGTGCTGTGGCATCTAGGAGTGAGGTAAACACACACACACACACAACTCAAGCAGCAAGGTGAGAAACCCTCACAGTGACACAGGTGTCAGAGAGTTGGACTTGTGGTGTTTACCTAAAAACAGACAGATATGCACATTCAGCACATATACATAAATTCTATTCTCAGAGTGCCACATGGGACAGCTTTACCTTTGTGAGCCTCGTCAATGTGGGTCAAAGCACCTAATCAGTCCTAGTCCCCAAAACTGGTATTTCAGCATGGCTGAACAGCTGAAGGAGGAATTTTAGTGGCGCGGCCAAGGCTTTAAATACTTCCAGGGCCTGTCCTACGGGTTTGTAGGAATATACTAAGGAGTGTGAATGGCTGAGTAGTGCAAGGGTGTATCTGTGTCACAATTGGGGGCAGTAAATACTTGATTCCTACTTCTGTTGTGATATTTTTATGACCACCTGGAAGTCCAATACAGAGACACAGAGGGTCTAACTCTGTTGGAACACCAAAACTAAGTTCTTCCTCAATAACAGACTAATAGCTCTGTAGCTTTCCTCATAACCAGAAACAGGAATGAATGAAATTGCCAATATCAGAGTAAAATTTAAGCAGAGCAGACACATATTAGCATCCATTTAGTTTTTGAGAGCAGGTCATACATGTGTGTGACAGTTCTACACTGAGTAGATTTGGTTCAGTTACAGGTGGATATTTCCATAGCCTGGATCCACACTTCCTGCCAGTCTAGGTCGTCAATAGAGATGCCCCAGTCTCCGTCCCAGGCTTGCTTAGTAGCTTGGGAAGGTTAGAGATAAATTGGAATTAAGGGGTCTATAAAATACACTGATGTGTTTCTGGGATACTGGTAAAAACAAGGACACATTGCAGCAGCTATGTGTAAGTTCTCTCCTAACTTATAGTGTAAAGTCAACACTAGAGGCTCAGTAACTGCCAGTTAGTCTGTAACTAAATTAACTGCTACAATTGGTTGCACCACGATTACTTTGGGCACTAGTTTGGATGTCAAGTCATACCTAAGGCAAGTTCCAATGAACGACCAAGATAGAGAGTACAGAGTACATATTATAGCTTTGATGTATTGTGAGTTATTGATCACTTTCACTTTACTCCTCAGGAGGCCGTGCGAGTTTTGATCCGCCACTCGGCTGACGTCAACGCGCGGGACAAGAACTGGCAGACACCGCTGCACGTTGCTGCAGCCAATAACGCGCTGCGTTGTGCTGAGGTCATCATCCCGCTTCTGAGCAGTGTGAACGTGTCGGACCGCGGTGGACGCACCGCCCTGCATCACGCTGCCCTCAACGGCCACACTGAGGTACTGCAGAAACTGACTGACTGACGGTCAATAACTCTCAATGATTTACAGGCTCTCTACATCCACAGCTGCTACAGTATGTTGGTGTAGTTCACCAATAAACAGGCTGTGATGTAACCATCCATTGTGCTATTTTGGTTGAATAGCCTGGTTAAAGGAAACAAGTGGGCAGGTGCAGCTGTATCACTGGGGTTATTAAGTGGGGTGTTCATTTTTAAACACTCCTCGTCTTAGATGAAATCATTCACAAATGTGCTGAATCTAAATTTAACAATGAGAGGCGGCAGATTTCTGAGCCAAACTGAATGGACGGCCCAGCGCTGTCTCTCCAGAGTGTTTATGAAACAACTGAGCCAAGTGATGAGACGTATTTACAATGCTGTTATATAAAGACCATCACCCACACACACACACACACACACACACACATTCACACTTGGCCTGTTGCACATAAACATACAAAAACAAATATATAGCTCTTACATTACCCACTAATTTCCCCTCCTTCTGTATTTATCTCTGTCAGATGGTAAACCTCCTCCTCGCTAAAGGAGCCAACATCAACGCCTTTGATAAGAAGGACGGGCGGGCGCTGCACTGGGCAGCTTTCATGGGTAAGAGAGGAATATGGAGTTTGTTAGAGATAATTACACATCACGCTTTTATTTCCTGGAAGTAAATCATTGTACGTGTTTGTGGAAAAATTAGTCATTGGCTCACTCTGAGTTACCTAACAGCCAAAGGGCCCGTTCATTAGAGCTAGAGTGCAACAGCACACAACATAACACAACGGGTGTTTTTACTAGAGAAACACGACAGAACCAAATATGCATTAAATACAGCAAACAAAGTTGGGTAATTTCAGTATACTGTAGGTTCCAAATGGTGTGACAATGCTAGAAAATCTTGTGTTTACACCATTAAAACCCCTAAATAAACATTTTTTTGACCTGAAAACATCACTGAAAAATGTAATCATTTGAAGTAATTACTTAACATAACTACGCAAATTCAACAAAAACAAATGAAGCATATATCAATAAAAATAAGGGTGTAATACAGTGTGTCAGCATACAGTATATACTAGAGCTGAAACAATGAGTCAGTTAATGTGTTAGTCAACTGACAGAAAATTAAAGTTGCTTTAAGTGCTATTTGTTT